TATATATATATATATAATCTAAGAGTGCAAAAGTTTATGGATCTACTGCAGTCATCAAGGAATCGAGGAGTGCAAAAGTTTCTTATACTCTTAGATTATATATATATATATATATATATACACACGTATCTGATTTATTGTAGCATTTCTAAATAGAAAAAAAGGATTTCAGAAGAAGGAGCTTAGTTCCTTTGCGTTTCAAATGTTTGGAGATAGTAAATGATGCTATGAAATATAGAAGCAAAATGATTTCTTACAATCAGATAAAATTGTTCATCAGAACAATTATTTCCCTTTGTCAAAGAAGTGTCAGATATTCTCCACATGCTTTTCTGAAATATTATCAAAATATAAATTCATTCAAATAAAATCGAAACAATAAAAATAAAGAACCTAGGATAGGCCGCCCGATGCATGGTTTCTCTCTCCCCCTCTCTCTTCATAGAATGAGGCGATGGCGCAATCGAGGAGTGGACAACCTTCAGGCGAAGATCAAGATCAAAACATGAAACAAAGAACGATCCTCAACTAAACTTTTATAAACTTAAAAAACATAAACCTTCAGGACTTCGAGATTTTTCATCTAGCATGACATAAATCCTTATACTATCTTTAGGTTTTCATATAATTGTATGTCGTGCGATATAAATCCCAACTGTTTTAAGATTCCAATGTTCTTCGTTCGGTACGAGGCAAATGCCCCTTTCCAAGTCATCTACGTTGATCGTATATCATGCAATGTAAGTCCTACATTTAAAATAAAATGGCAGGAGTAAACATCGAATAATATTATTTGTAAAATGTAAAGCTAAATAATGGAAGAGTTTGAAAAGTCATTAAGATCCCCCTCAAAATCTGTAACATCTCCTACATTTTGCTTCTTTGGTTCCCAAAATAATTGTTCTACATTGAGCACTTCCCACCACTTTTCTATGACCAATCGTGAAAATTAAGCCTTGAATTCTTGAAGAAAAAACCCCAATTTTAATCAAGAGTTTTCTTAGGAGACTTTAATTGTTTAAGATGTAATTAACTATAAGGGTTTGCGCTTACAATAAAATTAGTAACCCAACTAATCTACACCCTGTCTAGTTTTTATATTAGGTAGAGGAATGATCCATTGAAAATTTTGCAAACCAAATAAATATCATAAATTTCTTGGTTTGAATAATTGAAACTAGTATCGACTGATATCCTTATCTTTCGAAATGAAATATTACTTGTAATATCGTGCTAGGTTATTTAAACCATCGAATATATGAGATCAATTCGGTCACATTTTTAAAATCAAAATGCTCTTTTCAAAATCAAAATTATACATATATTAAATTAAATTATCTTTACTTTTAATTAAAAAAAAACGGCATATCAGTTCTCATGTAATCTACTAAAAAAATAGACTAATCTTCATTATTCCTCTCAATACCTTTGGTGTTATGCCTTTCTTTACATTCCAACGGTTGAAAGAAAAAATTCAACCAAAAAGCTATAAAATGTACTATTAGTTACTCATCAAACCAAAAAATGATACAATTATTATTATCCTAAGATTAAAAAATTCTAAACACCATGAATATAAGATTATAACAACAAGCCTTTATCCCACTAAGTGAGGCCGGCAACATAAATCTTTTCATCGTTGCATCATATTGAGCGTCATATTGTCATTTAATTCTCATAGAACAAAATCATTTTTTATACAATAGGCCCAAGTCATTTTAAGTCTGCCTCTACTTTTCTTAACATAAGTTGAATCTAAAACATCTACTCTCCTAATCAGGCCATCAGATGGTCAACGTTTAATGTGAACCAAACCATCTAAGACGACTCTCTCTAATATTGTCCGCCAGTAAAGCTAGACCAGCCCTATCATGGATATATTCATTTCGTATTGTCTCCAAATGTAAAGTCACTCATCCACTAAGCATTTTCATTTCAGCAACACTTAACTTTGTTTTATGCTTCTCTTTTAAAGACCAATATTCTGCATCATAGAGCATTGCAAGTCTCACCACCTTCTTATAAAATTTTCTTTTTAGTCTAAACGATAATTTTCTATCACACAATAGGCACGATACATTCCTCCACTTCAACCAACCAATTTGAATTTTACTAATAACAACCCCATCTGTTTACCATCGCTTTGAACAAAAGACTTGAGATATTCAAAACGTTCACACCTTTTAATGATTTAATCAACCATAGTTACAACTTTGTCACTAGAGTTGCTGCTACTAAAATTACATTCCATGTATTCAGTTTTAGTTTTACTCAAACAAAGACCTTAAACCTCAATAATTCAAGTTCTTTCAGAACTATTTCTCTAGTCTTCTTATCCACAAGAAGGATATCATCAACAAAAAACATACACCAAGGTGCATCTTCTTGTAAATGTCTGGTAAGAGCATTCATAACTAAAGCAAAAAGATATAGGCATAAAGTCAATAAATGATGTAATCCAACTGAAATAGAAAAAACGATGTCAATCCTCCCTCTATTCAAACATAAGTACCAGCTCTAGCACACATATCTTTAAGGGCATGAATGCAAGTCATTTCAACAACTTTCACCTTTAAAACTCTCCAAAAAACTTCTCTGGGAACCTTATCGTAAGCTTTTTCTAAATCAATACAAATCATATGTAGATCTTCCTTATTCCCTCTGCACTTATCCATAAAACCTCTCAATAAAAGTATAGCTTCTATAGTAGACTTGTCCGACATAAATCCAAACTGATAATGAGAAATTTTTATCTCACGTCTTAACCTATGTTTAATTATCCTCTCACATAATTTTAAAGTATAATACATTAACTTAATTACTCTATAATTTGCACAATCTTGTGCATCCCCTTTATTCTTAAAAATGGTGACCAAAATAATCTTTCTCCACTCCTTTGGTATCTTTTTAGTTTTTAAGAGAAAATTAAAGAGTTTAGTAAGTCAAGAAACTCTCAACTTTCTTAAATATTTCCACACTTCGAATAAGATATCATCGGGTCCTACTAAATTTCCACCCTTGGTTTTCTTTAAAGTCCCATCAACTTCTTTTTTATTAATGTGGCGGTAAAAATAAGACATTTTTTATTATTAGCGATATTAAGATCATTAAATTCGATCGTATCTTCAGAAACTTCACTGAAAATTTTATTAAAATATCTCACCCACGTATGTTACATATCTTCCTTTAAGAAAAGCGTTTTCTTTTTCTTCATCTTTAATATTTTTTAGTTGAATAAAATATTCACTTCTCTTTTCTTTTTGTTTGATTAGTTTATATATATATATATATTATCCACCCTTTTTAGTCTCTAATCTGTTATAAAGATCACTAAACACAAAATTTGTAGCGTCACAAATTGTTCTCTTAGACTCTCCACGGGCCACCTTATATTTTTCTCAATTTTCTTAAGTTTTTACAATTAAACAAATTTTTATAGCACGACTTATATTTTATCTTTTCTTGCTCATTATTATTCCACTACCAACAATTTTTATTTATAGAAACTTTTCTTTTGATTCTTTAAGTACAACTTTTGTCATTTGTTTAATAGTGTTGTTACTTTATCTCACATAGAATTTGCTTCTTAACGAACATCTTAAATCTTAAAATCTCGAATTTACTCATAAAAATAATTTTATGTGTTTTTTTAGGTACCATGAATATAAAATTGTCTTTAAAAAATCAACATTGCTTTCCTAAAACTCCAATTCAAGGGGATAAACTTTTGCATGGTGACTAAGATCAAAACAATCTGATTTATTACCTTCAAAGTCACTAATCTAGACTAACCACTTTACTAACTTAAAGTCAAAAATGCCTTCCAAAATGGAGATTTTGATTGAAGATAAAGCCTATATGACTATACCACATAAATTTGACTACATCCACTGATAACAAAGTTTGCAAACTTTAAAAATCATTATATGGTCTAAAGCAAGCACAAAAAACACATATTGATAAGTTCACCAATATGATTGAGGAGCATCTGTACTCTCAAATATATATTAACCAGGGTGTAAATAAAATATATTAATGGCCCAAAGTCCACTTGGTCATAACCCATTTCAAGGCTTTCCTTCACCTCCACTATTAAATTCCCTTATTGTAAAAATCACCCTAATCACAGATAGAAATTATGGTGCACATCCTGTTATAACTGTGAACTATCTTGACACTTATCGCTAAAATCTAATAGCATGCATTTAGGATGAAACACAATTTTCTATCATTATCGTTGACACTGTTTAAAAGTGTGCAATTACACGCGCGACTCTATCCAATCACGGAATAAACTGCGTTGAGGCGTACGCCTCGCGAGGATTGCACGAGGCGTATGACTCAAAGATATAAGGTGGGTTGTATCGTGTGCTTCGCCTCAAATCGACAAAGCACCCGCCTCGTATTTGAAATTAGGTATTCACCTAAACTCGCAATCCTGTCGTTCCCTCTCACACGTGCTACAAGCCTTGGATTGCCACCGGCTGCATCGAATGAAGTTGTCGATGTCATCGCCGACATCGCCGCCGACGTTGCCGCCAAGGTCGGCACAGCCTAATCCTCTTGTCGCCAGCACCCCAATAACCTCCTGCAGCTTCGGCTAGAACTTGTTACCGCCACACCACCGCCTCCCTTGCTCTTCGCACCACAACCTGCTACACTAAGCCACACCACCACTCACATGCTCTAGAAGCCTAGGATTCCCTCTCATAAGCGCTAGAAGCCTAGGATTGCCACCGGCTGCATCGAACAAAGTAGTCGATGCCATTGCCGACATCGCCGCCGATGTTGCCGCCAAGGTCTCCACAGCCTAATCCTCTTGTCGCCAGCACCCTAGTAGCCTCCTGCAGCTTCCGCTAGAACTTGTTACAACACCTACATCATGGTGTTGCACCTGCATCTGATATTGCACATGCTACCGCCACACCACCGCCTCCTGTGCTCTTCGCACCACAACTTGCTGCACCAACCCACACCACCACCTAACACTGATGCCATCGGAGTCATCGCGGTCACCAGTTGCTTCATTCACCCCAAAAAACAATTTTATTTAATTAGGCGTATAATTTCCATATTATTTTCTTGTACATGAATTAGAAATAAAAAAAAATTGTGGCAATTTCAAACTTAGCACTCGAAACATTGCAATTTACAAAACTATCACTCTGCTCAATCCATTTTTAAGAGTTTCACTCAAATATCAAAAAAGGAAAAATTGGAGCCATATTTTTCATTTATCAAATTCTTAATGATTTGATGATGGCACGCATATATGCTTCGGTCAGTTAGTTCATATAAATTACTTGGGTGCTAATTTTATAAATAATAATATTTTGAGTTATTTCTAGGTACTTATCTTAACAATATTTCATGTTACATATAAATATGAATAATGAATAGTTTTATTAAGTCACTCAAGTAGACTATCATGCTCGATTTGCTCAACTTTGTGCAATTTATCACTTTGTATCATGTTATGATGTTTGTATGTCTTCCTTTCATATATTAATAAATTTTGAAGCTAGTATACATTTTTTTACCCATTTATTTTTGGGACTTGAGTTTCAAATGGTGAGGCTTATGCCTCACCTCGCGAATGGAAAACGTCTCAATACACAATTGCGTAATTTTAAACATTGATCACAGACATGAATTTTAATGCCCACTCTCAATTCGCACATATTGTGTTGTTCAAAATTTTCATTTGTATTTGTCTGTGCGCCAGTCTTAGTGTGAATCCAAAGACAAAAAAAAAATCCTAGACTCAACCAACTTGCAATAGAATCAGTCATTAGCTAACGATGTGTGCATAATAGAGTAGCCATGCTATGAGCCTCACTTGTCCAATCAAATCTCCTAACTAGCTCAAATGGGTCAACCTCTAAGCCCTTGACTCATCGTGTGCACAAGACTAGACTCATAGTGTGCAGAAAACTAGCCTGAGCTAGAGCCAATATTCATCAAACACTCACAGGTAAAAGGTAGTTTCTATCGCTACTTTTACCATTATAGTTTATTAATCATAGTTTTGGACTCATTTAGAAAATTTTAATTATTGAGCTTGTAAATAAAGCTTCAAGCTAAAATTGTAACCATTTCAATTTAAAAAAAAAAGAGGATCTGGACAAACAAAAGGATAGCATTAACTGCAAAGGGTTTTAAGAAAAATTTGTTGGTGAAATATGAAATTTCAATGAACAAATTAAAGACTAATAACTTTTACCAGAGCCTCAATATGTAAATTTTCTTAAAAACATTCCTCTTAATAAAGAACAATTAAATGTAACCAACAACTCGGATTTGCAAACAAAGAAACTGAATAACATAGACAGAACATACCAATTATACAGTAAGAAACATAGAAGAATCAGATTTCATGCTCACTCATGTCAGAAAGGTCAGAGTATGTGCAAGTGAATAAAAATAACAAATTCAATGGAAATAATTGAAAGCTACCTCATCAGGCAAAACACAATTATTTTTCATATCATCATATATGCTAAGGGCAAATTCCAAATCACCATTCTCACAGCAGCTATTGACAGCAATTGTGTAAACGTCGGGGGTGCCCTTTATGTTAAATAGATGAAGCATTTTGTACACTTCACGTGCCCGTTTGGCCTAAAGGATCATAGATCAGCAATATCAATACCGAGAAAAGTCGGACATCAAAAAATAACATATATCCAAGTCTGGACGTTATAAAAAGGCCTAAAATTGGGTATATAAACTGCGAGTATGAATTATGAAATAAAGAAAATAATACCTGACCAGTTTGAATACAAGTTTTCACCAAGGCACCAATAGTAACATGATCAGGGTCTACTGGCTTTGGTTCACCTCTCATCTCAGCTAAGACATCAAAAGCACGATCAAGTGCACCTGCACGACCACATGCAGTGATCAGTGCATTGAATACAACTCGATCTGGTTGTACATTCTACTGCAGGTAAGATTTTGTTAATTGTAGGATATTATAACACCTCAACTCAATAAAATGCAACAAAGGAAGGTAGTTATAACTTGCATATGATCCGAAATTTATAAGATATGTGTATCAGACCTTGGATCTCATAATTCCATATGCGCCAAATGCTTTGGCGATTTGTCCGGCTCTAGCACAGCCATCAATCAAAGCACCATATGTGTTGACATTCGGCTCAACTCCAGCATTAACCATTTCATGGAAAACCTTTAAAAAGAAAATTTAAGATTTAGATTAACATTGCAGGTAAAAACAGTACAAAAATTACTACATATCTGTCGGTGGTCATTCTTCATAAGCTATGATTGATGCTACTAAATGACATCAAGCAGTAATAAATGTGCCCAAAGCTCAGAATATAACTCTCAAAGCCAATTAAACTAGTTAAAGTAAATGATAAATATACTTAAGGTGGAATGAGAAAAACCAATTCAGTGGACGTGGAGTTCATAAGAGATGATAGATTGGCCATTAAAATTGACAATAAACTTCTCTAACTGTTTTCATTATAAAACTCTAGTCATTTGAAAAGATACTAAAATTTAATCTGAAACTACGCCACAGCCAGTATTGACATAAATTAGCATATAGACATCTCCAATTTGAGTTCAAAGAGATACTTAATTCATATCACAAGCCCAACCAGGCTCCAGGTGCCTAGAAGCTGAATTTCATCTACATAGTCTGCTAATCTTAAACAAATTGAATGTTGTGTGTAATTGCATGATTTGTGCCAGAGTCACTATTGTTAAGGAAACAGAAAAAAAGTAACCTCATTCTTTCAAGGAGGCTTCAGGACTTGAAAATGTTAATTTATTAATTGTTGACTTGCATGGGAACTTTATCAAGTAAACAGGCTGATTCAGGCTACCACTGAAACGTAAGCTTATGGTTGAAAATTTGGAATAAGAGTTATGAGAATTCCCTTCTAAGTTCTTCTTCACGGTAGCTGAGTAAGAAAGCAAATCCTAGCCCTCCTTCCTCCGTCAGAGTCTCCCCTTGAAGCCACAAGTCCCTGCAGGCCCTCCGCCGGATCCTCTCCTTGCAGTCGGCTCCCTGCAAGTGTCTCACTGCTACCGTCTTCCAGCAGACCCTCCACCAAATCCTCACCTTCCAGCAGATCCTCCACCAAATCCTCACCTTGCAGCAGGCTCCCTCCGGGCGTCTCCTTACAAGCGTTACACTTTGCAGGCTTCTAAGCATCCCTCCTTGTGTAACGCCAAAATTTCAAGAAATAGATAAAATTCGGCAAATTTGAAAAGTACGCTAAGTTTTTCATCTCCCGAATATTAATCGAAATCATTTTATAAAATTCTATGCATGAAATCAATCAATGCAATATAAATTACCATGCAAGAATTATTAACAGATTGGGAGAAATAAAATGTTAAAGTTATAAGTTTAATTAATTTAATTAAATCTTAATTAATATTAATTTCCTCCCTTAATCTCACAGAACTGTAGCTAAACGACTTTCATTCGCAATATTTAGTTTGAATAGGGTCACAACTTTGCATTTCTTTCCCCTCTCCCAAAATTCTTTCTCTCGCCTGACCTTCCCCTCTTCCTTTGCGATCTCCTTGTCTGGGTATCCCATGAACTCCAGCACAGAATTGTGCTCAGATACTATAGCAAATGGGCGGACAGTAAACCGAGCGGTTCCAGGGAAACTGTAGCCCAGGATCCGACGCTTTGAGGCGACTTTTGTAAGCATGAATCCCTCCCTTATGTCAATTGATGCTTTCATTTCCTTTCCCACAATTTCGTATTGAAGTTTGCCTCATTTTCGTGTTTTTTTGTTTTCGGTAGCCGTTTGAGAGCCAAACTCATGTCAGAAGCGTTGAAAGTGATTCGAAAGCATCTATATGAGTTTTAGCACAAAATCAGATAGGGAAAATGAAAATTAAGGTGTTAGAAGAAGTTGGGGAGAAAATTGGTGAGTTTTAAAGGGGGATTTATGACAAAAAGCTCTTTTAAGCTATAGTTTGTCATTTAATGCTTGTTTTTGAATGTTTTGAGTCAAATTTTATGAAACCCTATGTTGTCTATAAGCCTCAGGTGATCTATAAGAGACGGCGAGCTCAAGAAGAGAGCGTGGATACACGTTGTAGAGCTGCTCCGTCAAATCAGTTGAAATAATCTTATGACAATTTAAGAAATATAATATTCTATAAGTTTTCAAATGATTTTTATTTTGACACAGATGCATTTAAAATTTTATGCATATTGCAAATGGATATTTGCAAATAAATGTATTAATATACATTTACTTTTCATATGATACATGTAATATTATGATCAGGTTACCTATGACTATGCTGATGATAAGAATTCTCCAAAGGTATTCATTAATTATGTTTCATACCTATGATACATGTAATACATTATAAATACTTAAAATAGTAATAATCATTTAAATGTCATGAAGAATATTAGTGATAGACTATTACATGAGTGATTTTAAGTACACTATATAAGGATGCAATATTTCTAACTTCTGGTATTTATATGAAGAAAAGCTGGGAACCGTTGGGATTAGACAGTGACAGAATGTTAAGAAACCATGGATATCAAAAGGTTTATCAATAACTGATATGTTGGGAAAGTTCAACCTTTATTGATAGTTTATATGGCCTTTGAGGCAAGGTGACGACCAATGATGAAAGAACATAAAAATAGTTGAACCCTATACATTAAAAAAGTGACATTATTATGATTTGACCTCTATAAAATGACATTGCTATGATAATATACTATGAACATGTTTTTTATTATACTTATAACTTCATTCTTACGACCCACATGCTGCATTGCAGTCTTGGTTTTTTTTATTACCCATACCTGCTCTCTTCTCATATTCTCTAGTATGCTAGGATGTTATGATTTATGTATAGAAATATATATTTGATATGAGCAAGCACGTTCTTTCTTTTTCAAATATAAAATCTTATGTTAACCTGATTATTTCTTTGAACTCATTGATGTTTATTCTTCATTGATACCTTACAGGTGGGGGTAATGAGCACCAGGGCAGGTAGTCAGGTAAATTTTTGTACAGTTTTTGCACGAAAGTTTTGAAAGCATGTACATATATTTTGGGTATGTATTTTTATTATATTCGATTTAGCAGTTCTGCATTGTTTTCATATTTTGGATGATATGATTTTCAAGCTTTCGAGTATGTAAATAAATGAATTATAAAAAGTAATGTATCACGTATCTTGCGGCGATGTAGTTAGACAAATTCATCACCCACTGTGTCCTAATTATACAAGTAAGGGCAAGTGCTAGTGAGCTGAACAAATTGCCAGCCCTTGTCGTACTTTAGCCGACCTTTGAGGGGGATTGGTTGGGGTGTGACACCCTGCAAGCTTCCTGACAATTTCCAGGCTTCCCCTTGCAGGCATCCTCTCTTCGTTGTCTTCCACCAGAGCAATTGCATGATAGTCACCTCCTAACCACAGGAAGCTCCTCGAGCAAATAGAGGAGCAGCAAGAATCATGTTGGCCTTCCAAATGTTCCCAACCTTGTGATCTTTCCCAGTCATCCGGTTGTTCGTCACACCAACAGGTGGCAACCAGAATCCTAAAACAAGCAACATAACAGCTAGGAATTCTTTCCAACCCTAAACATGCATAGGATTGATGACCAATTACAAAATGAAGATGTCTACTTCTAATTCAGAGTTTAATTTTCAATCAAACACTAAGAATTATGTCCAAACAGCCCCTGAACTCTCTGCTTTATCACTATATGTTAAGACCCAACTGCACTCGCTTTAAGGATCGGCTGAGGTGCGACGAAGGTAAACAATTTTGCCAGATTAAATTCTCACTACACCCGTCCTAGCTTGCAGAATCAAGACTTAGTAGATGAAAAATGACGCAAACAAACGTGATATATTGCATTTCATAATTCATTTATATTCATTCTTAAAAGCATAGAAAATCATATCATCAAAACATATACATACATATACATACATATATATATATATATACATACATATATATATATATACATACATATATATATATATATATAATATATATATACATACATATATATATATAGCTGCTAAATCTAACATAAATAAACATGTATCCAAAAGTTGTACAAACTCCTTGAACTAAATAGTGCAAAAGCTGTAAAAATAAAATATGGCTACTCACCCTAGTGCTCGTTGCCTAGACCTGAAAGGCAACGATGTAGAATGAGAGACAAAGAGCTCAGCGAAACAATCAAAGCTAAAACAAGAGACAAAAAAGAAACAACGTGCATACTCATATAAAACTGTACATGTCTACACACAAGTTACATGTTGAAATTACATAAAACATGAAAAACTGGTAGTACAGACAACCATGACTGCAGTATAAAACATGTATAGTCATATGCTTATTCATAATAATGGAATCATAGCAATTTTATTATAGCAGTGTCATCATAACAGTGTCATCATAAAATAGCAATATAATCATAGCATAGCAATGTTACTTGAAAATGTATAGGTCTCAATTATTTTCATATACTGTCATATCATGGGCTGTCAACTTGTCTTAAAAGCCATATTGACTATCGATAAAGGTTGGGACCCCCAACATAGCAGCTATCAATAGCCCATCTAATACCAACGGTTCTCTGTGTTTTGTCACCGTCTGATCACAATGGTTTTCATAGTTTCATTGTCTCCTGAACAGCAGGAGTCGGGAAAACCACATCCCTGCATGCAAGCACTCATGTAATAGTTCACTCATAACATCACTTGTGCATTTCTTAAAATGTAATACAAGCAGCAAATAATTATAGATATTTTATATATCACATGCATGAATCATAGCAAATGAATACCTGCAAATAGTTTATATCATGAACATAGTAATATGTATCATTGCATGATCATAACATAATAACATCACATGTATCTTAAAAAGAAACCAACTTACAATTATACATTCAATATAGGTATTCATCCACACTATGCAAAAAATCTAAATGCATCCTTATCAAATGAGAAATCATATGAAAACCTATAGAAGATTAATTTTCTTACACAAGCACAAATTTATTTCACGTGACTTGATGAAGTAACCCTACAACAAGTTTTCACATGTTCGCCTCGAGCTTGTCTCCTCGCATATCCAACATGAAATTTTTAGGGAACTTAGGGCTTTCATCAAAATTAGTTTATAATGTGCATTAACCCA